ATTTATGATTTTAGGAAAACTATATTATTGTTTTACTTCTTTAGAGGGCCATTGTCTGTATACTTATTTCTGACCATTTCCTGAAATACTACATCACACTAGTCTTGCTTATTTCTGGATAATTCATTATCCCAGAAGAAATGAATTTTTTTCTGATTACCGTAGATCACCAAATTTTCGCAAAACCTTATTTTCACGAGATGTGTATTTGGTGTTTATAAGCGAGACAAAATTTTCACAACTGCTTGTTAATTCTATATATATTCTCCCTGCTATGCTTTTAAAAATATGTGACAATCAAAATTTTGTGAGCAGACATACTTTCTCGAATAATTACGCGAAAATTTAGTTCTAGCGAATAGGAAGTGATTTACAGTACCTCAGTAAATTATTGTTTGGATTTAAAGTTATATAGGCCCATTTTCTACAGTAATTCTCATAGGTAATTAAATCATACAAAAATTATGCCTCCTGCTCTGATTTTCTTAAAATTTTTACTGCATATATTTTATACAATATTCATATTTGCTAACATCAATAAAACTTTTATTATTTTGTATGTGAAGTGTTCATCCACAAACTGAAAATAATTGAATAACTAATTTTTAGAAATTTATTATAACTCAGTTCTGAATTTTGTAATGCAGGTGCCCTCATACATAATATGTCATAAAACTTTCTGATTAAAATTAGGTAATAGATATCCTTATAAAGGGGATAAATTTCATCTAATCAATCAGTTCTCCACTACAATTAAAAAAAAATGATGATATTGCTATTTTTAAGTCATTGATATGGTTGAAATATTTTTTAAATATAATTTTCAAAGAAACCACATCTTTTTGAGAATCATGTTGAAGCTACAATGCCAGGAGCCAGAATGCATAAGAGTTATGTGGGTACATGTCCTCAGCTGAGTACCACTGCTCTGCAATGCTAACGAGGTGTGACAAAGATTACTCATTTGTACTTAACAAAAAGAATTCCGGTAAATCTAGATAATTAGACATGATCAGCACAATGACGAGAAAATCCACTTTTTGGCTGAGATACATACACAGAATACTTGTCTCTCTGACACAATGCAAAATAAACAACAATTTCTACTAATTAACAACATAATTTGTCTTCCAGCTAAGGTGGCAAAAATCTGTCAAATTCATGAAATCGTTTTGATTCATAGACTTGTTTTTCTTCCTTCAAGTCATTTATTATTTTCTTTCTATTTATATGCACTAGAATAGTTCTCAAAAACAACATAAGGATTTTTATGATGTCTCCGGATTCTGCTTGTAAGTAGGATAACGATCAGTTGACTTAGATTATACATGATTGGTAAAATCTCTACAAAGCTTGAGACATCTTGTTATTGACAGATCTCCAGATAGCCTGCTTCTTCAGACATTACAGTGGTTTACTTAAACTGTTTATAAACATCAAAATACAGATATTATGTGATTTACAAAAGATGAAAGGATCCATCCCCTACAGTGCTGATAGCAGTCATAAAATACTTCAAATCAGCATCCAAATTGAGTTACATCAGTAGAAACAGTCATCTTATATATCATTAGCTTACAATTTTAACTATCTTGGAGGCATTCTCAATAATTAACTCTTTATTTCCATTTAAATACTTTTAAGTAATACTTTAACTTGTTCATTAATCATTTGTGTTGATGACTGCAACAGCTAGGGTTCAATGGCCGAGATGACAAAAAAGAAATTAAAACTTCATTTCCATAAAAAAAAATTATTATATCTTGGGTCACACGTTTCTTCTTTATCTTATATAGATCAAAATATACAGTACAACGAGATTTTAGAATGAGAGGCCCCATGCATGTGGGCCACAACACTCACCTGAGTAACTTTGGCCCTGCTGTTCTTCACCAAATTTTCCCCTTGTAATATACAATTAATAACTCCTTATGAGGTCAACATGGTGAAATAAGGACACGAGATCTGGCCCACGAGGTGACCTGACCTGACCGAGGCTGCATAGCGGCCGAGGTCAGGTCAGATCAGCGAGTGGGTCAGGTCGAGGGTCCTTATTTCACCATGTTGAACTCATAAGGGATAATCAATTGTTTTATTATACCGATATAAGTTAAGACAATTTTTGTAGGCTTAATTACTAAAGTAATCAATTGTGTATTAGACCTACGAAATGTTATTTTTAGTGTTACATCTGGATCAGGATTCCATAGTGAAGTTGTTTACTTTTCGCCTGCAAGTCTTGTGAGTTTTTGCACGGCCGATTTATTAAAACACTCTGTGATTGTAACATGCATTTTTATAAATTCACAAATACCATTCCCGAGTACAATGACTATCTGTTGCAGACTTTTACTGTATAAAAGAGCCGAGTCTGCATTTGTTGAATTTGACATTGTAACGAAAGTTTCAATGAAAACGATAAATTTTTTGGCATATGTAAAGGCCATTCGTATTCGGTATCATAAAAGGACTATACATATTTTTATAACGGCATTTTTTGTAATGAACAATCATTACTGTATGCATAAATTTTTAATCTGAATGGAATTTAGATTAACAGGTCATTTTTAGTGGTCATTATTTATAATGACCGGGTCATTATACCCCACGTGCAATGATTCTTAGGTCATTATTGCTGTAAATGGTACTTTTTGGAGTCATTATTGAGTTTAAAAGCCTTCTAACAAACCAATCAAATTTGAGTATTCTTAATAGACTGAGGTATAATAATACTTATTGTTGCCCCCCCCTTACCGATGAGGATCATATATATATTAAAATCTACAGTACCTCAGGAAGCTTCCAGGTAAATTTTACCTTTTCTAGCCGAGTAGTTCTTGAGAAAGATTTTTCCTATATATTTCGATGTAAAATTTTGATTCCCTGTTGTGGCCCAATCCAACCTCTTGGGGCGAATATATGATTTAAGTAATTTATGAACTAGTACACTACCTCAGGAAGCTTCAACATGGTAAGTTTCACCTTTTCTAGCCAAGTGGTTCTTGATAAGATTTTTAAAGATTTTTCTTACATATTTCAATGAAAAACTTTTGATTCCCTATTGTGGCCCATCCTGGCCCTGCAGGGGCCATCATTTGAACAATTTGGAATCTACACTACCACAGGAAGCTTTCCACATAAGTTTAAGCTTTTCTGGCCCTCTGGTTCCTGGGAAGAAGATTTTTATTGACTCTACCCTATTCTTGTCTTTTCTTATTATCTCCCCTTGGAAGGCTTGGTCCTTCACTTTAACAATTTAAACTCCTCTCCACCCAAGGATGCTTTTACTTTAGTTAAATTTGGCCTAGTGGTTCTTGAGAAGAAGTTGAAAATGTAAGAAGTTTACAGAAGGATTGGCGGACAGCTAGATGGACAGATGGATGGACGATGGACAACAGGTGATCAGAAAAGCTTACTTGAGCTTTCAGCTCAGGTGAGCTAAATATGACTAGAAACAACATTAAATTTTATTTAAAAAGAACAATGAGTCCTGTAGATGGAGTTCTAGCATTTACAACATTAATAAGACAGGTCTTAGAATTTAGTGAACTGGTGTTTGTATTGTGGCTCATTAAGATTCTGTTCACTGAAATAAGTAAAAGCCCTGTTCATATTGCAAGCTTTACTCTTATGCAAATAATTTGCATAATTATGGATTGCGTAAATATACTCATGTCTTGCTGTATAAATGCATTTGCATACATGCAAAAAATACTCATGTAAGCATATTTACACCTAGTCAGGGAGATCGAGGTGCAATCTGTTTACTCATGCAGATGCAAATATTGTGTGCTAAGAGGTTCATCTATGGTTTTTCTTTAAGGAGCTAGCTTTTTCACTAAGCCTTCTATAGATGTAAAGATTGGTCTCCTTAATTCTTAAATTCTACAATTTAATTGCTAAATTCATTGTTTTACTTCTTAAAGAACATTATTTTGAACCAGATGCTTGATTGTGGTTTTCTTCTAATTTTCCTATCAATTTAATGAAGAATCATTCTGCAGTCCCAATGCTTAACAGTGAGTGCAGCAAAGTGCCCCTCACAGTGCGAACTCTAATGACAATGCCTGGGCAAAGAGGATATTCGGACTTTGCACGTTGACCCAAGTAATTTTTTCCGCAGTGACCTCAAGACCCGAAATGCAACATGAATGCATCTCGCTGCTAACTTAATTCTCATGGTAACAACAATTAAAAATTCACACCTTGATTTAATGGATATTGAATACAGATAGTACTTTAAAAGTCTTTGTAAAAATTATACACCTTTCAAACTTCATTTACTGAAATGCAGCTAACATTCTACATCATGTGACGTCAGAGATGTCTCGTGTGGTTTGGAGTGGTGGATCTTAATTAAGTAAAAAAGTGAATGCACCTCGCTGCTAATATAAGTGAAAACCCAGTAAAACACAACTATGCTTATCCGAACAGTCGCACCGTCAACATATTATATATAAAAGATTTCACTTTCTCTTGTATGGATGCATTCTTATTGAAGTAATGATCAAAAAAGAATGGAATAAAAGAATGCATATGGATTCACTCATAGTACATGTACATAAAATCAAAGGAGAATTTACTTTTGTTCATAAGAGCAAATTTGTTCATGAGTAAATGCACTCTAGAGTACATTTCAAAGTATTTAAGATATTTATTTAAATACATAGTTCCGTATGAGCAAAAATTAAAGTATTTCTAGAGTTGTTTGAAGTTTTACACAAGATACATAATTGCTGTTTTGTTGGTAAGTAAAATAGAAGATGATTTAGTCACCATTTGTCCTCTTTACATGCAAACTCAGTAAACAGTCTCTACTCATTATAACAATATTGCCAAAAAACATTCAGCACATTTCCTCCCACTCTGTGGGCTGGGAAAATTGTAACCACTCACTTACCCATGAAAGTCAGCTGACATGTTATTTAATCCCTTCGTTACATAGTTCCTGAGGACAATAAGAAGCCTAATGTTAAAATTAGAAAACAAACTGTACTCACATTTCTTCTTGTTTAGCTTCTTCTGTATCCTCCTTCTTATCTGTTTTTATGTTCACTAAAAATAGTAGAATAATTCTTACGTATTATTGTAAAATTGTACACGTACATTCTTCGATTTTATGTGTGTTTTCATGAATGCAATGTGAATGATTAATATACAGGTGGCTGACGAGAATTACCTCTGAATTTCAGTGATTTCCAATACTGCTTCTGTACATCTAAAACATCTTGTATACATTTCACAGCACTAAAAAAAAGTTACATAACTTAAAAACCAATGATTCAGTACTCATAGCAGATCACACCATTGACAGAAATTGGATTATCTGAACATGTTTAACCAACATACACATTTATTGTACATAGAACATACAATATATGCACAGTAGGTAGGACCTAATAATAAAATTATATATGCAGTCCTGTAAGATGTTCAACAGCAGTCAAATTTTAATTATAATCTTTAAATCATATCAGACACATGCGGCTTTAAAACAATTTTTCCTTTATAGTATGCAGCACCACAAAGGAAAGACAACTCTTCATCACATTTTTAATCACCCTGTATAGTCTTCACAGTGAAATAGCATATCAAATTGATAGTCCTAACAATTACATGTATTACTTTATAGGATTTGACTCTTTAAATTGAAAAAAGACCTTTTTTTTAGGGTGTGCATGTGAAACTATTTTCTTGTGAAAGACTAAGTACATGGCTCTAAGTTCATGTGATATGATATATTTTACCTGTCTTTCGGCTGGACATAAGGGAGGTGTGGACAACCATCTCCAAGTAAGATAGATGTACACATGGCCATGGAATTAGATATGGCCGTCAGGTGATATCCTCCCTATTAAATAATGTAAAATTAATGTTAAGACAGATACGTACTATGAACAAGTTCTGTAGCATCACAGTACTGTCAAGCCACATTAATTTGGATGCTTTTATTTCTGAGCAAATTGTCCAGATTAATGAAGCATCCTGATTACGGAAACATACTTGATATATCTAAATATAAATTGTTCCTCCAAAAATTTCATCTGGAAGGTGAAGTGTCAAGAGTATGAGTTTACCTTCATTATTTCAATGTATTTTCCAACTTCCTAGTTCCTGTTTATATCATTGCTACTACGTGTAAAGAAATTATTATAAATTATTATATACCCAAGTGTGTATCACTCAATTTTACTGTAGATTTTGTACAATCATGTGACGGTATGATACGACTTCCCGGATCACCACACTGTGGTTTTCCGAATCCATATCACCCCTCTCTGAAATTGATGACGCAATACACAGAAACATGACATTTTTCATGCGCATCAAAAAGTTCCTTGACAAAATGCTATGTTTAATGGAAAAATCTTATATAATTGATCTCAAAAGTTTTTTTAAAACTATATTTTGCTAGTTTTAAGGGGGGTATATAATAAATTTATCATTATAACAGTAACTTGATCTGATGAGTCATATCACGTCGAGTTGACAGGCGCGGATCATCAGATCAAACGAGACGTGATACGACTCTTCGGATCAGGTTACTGTTATAATAATGTATAATTATGTCTATACATGTACACTTTCCAAATGTACTTACTTCCAACACAAGGACTACTTTTCCATTGGCTAGTGATGATAGCATGTGGGTCATGTGACCATATCCAGCGGGTGTAAGCGAGTAACATCCCTAAAATGTTTGTATAATTATTATGATTTACGAAAAGTGAAATAAAGAAATTGAAAACCTATTTTCATGCTATTAAAACACCTTTTCAAACTATGTGTTCCTGTCTAATATGTGCATGTATTATTCTAACTTTCTAGAATAAAAAGATCTGTTGGTATAATTAAATACCAAAAACAGTGACAGTCAAATTTGACCTTTGAACTAGACTATTACCTTGACCTGACAAGAGGCTTTCCATTTGACCTTATGCTGGATCAAATATGAAGTCTCTAACTTGAGTAGTCAAGGTATACATGTAGCACTGTTTAAAGTTACTGACCAGCAGAGAGACTAATTAATAATAAAATAAAAAGCCTGAAAGTCTTTAATAGCATCAAACACGAAAAACAGACTTTCAAATTTTTTTTTTTCAAATTAAATTTAAAATTAAACATTGTAACCAAGTAAATAGGTAATATTGTAGCTTATTCCATGGTCCGAATTGATCAGTGTCCATGTTAACCAGACTCAATCGAAAGTATGCAAACATGGAAGTCTTTTCATGTTGTCGAATAAGTCATCCCTTTTTCAGTCAAAGAGCTGGGGAGGATTTACTTTATTACTATTTTACTTGTCAAAGTCTCAGCACGGCTTTTTAATATTCAAAATTAACACATTTCAGTATAATTTTAACATTAGCTACGAGTTTCAATCGGGCATGGTATAATATAATATGGTTTAATATAAAACCAAGTTTTGGAGCTTGACTCCTCGCATGTTTTCGATAAATTTATTGGTTATAAAATTGTAAGGGTAAAAATTGAACTTTAACTTTCTTGTTTGCCCATTAAGGTAATTTAGATTATTTTATAGCTTTGATTTGTTTTTGCTTTTTATTTTGATTGGTTTTCAGCCAAAAAAAATGATTCATGTAATTCGATGCATGGCTATTTAGAAATTAATCTGCAGCTTCTATACCACTTCTTCTTTTGTTACAATAAACACAGTATCTGTATTTTGTAACAGAATTCATTGTAGATTACTTGATGCAATTTTATTTTTAAGTAATTCATTGTGACCATTTCCAGTTAAGATACTTAGTACGGTTTTGACCTTTGGTCAACACCATAAAAAACAAACTTCATTCTTCAATTGTTGGGTACGGGATATACAGTCAAACCTTGTTATCTCAAACTCAATGGGACTGAGTAAAAAACTTCGAGATATCTGAGAATTCAAGATATCCAGGGTAATATACTTAAAGATTGGGACTTCAAAATCACTTTGACATATCCATGGTATTCGAGATATCAGTGTTCGAAATACCGAAGTTCAACTGTATTATGATAAAAGTCGAACCAGAGGGTCTCCCATTGCAGCATCAAAGCCAGCTGATACCAGAACCAGCTCAGGACCAAACTGTGAAAAAAAGCCTCACTGTAAAAGACTCTAATATGGAATACATAATATATAAAGAAAACTGAATAAAGGATAGGAATATCAAATGTTATCAAAATTCAACATTTTTTTCATGTTTTATATACATGTACATGTACATGTTTTCTAATGGAAAAAGATTTCCACTACACTAATTTCTTGCAGTTGATCCAGTATCTATTTGACCCAAGTACCTCATAAGCTATTGGCATGACCACTTGTTGAAAGGCTGTTATGTACTCAGAATCTCCCATGGGTCCCTGTGATACAGAATAATCAGATCATTAGCTTCTCACATTCTGAACACATCAAAGACAGTACACAATTGAATTCAGTAAAATCATGATGTTTCAGACACAAAATTAATTTCCCATTTAGAGAGTGACTTACTTTGTTCCAGGCAATGTTGACATTGAACCCCCTCCCCTCCCCTGTCCCCACTTTGGTGTGGCAACCCTCGGTTGTTGAGGGATAGAAAAAACCCTGGTCATATCGGTGAAGACTTATGAAGAGGACACTAATATTAAATAATACAAAATTTGAAATTAAAATGAAATCAAACATCAAATTTTATATAGTTATATCAAATGAAGATATAAGCTCACTAATAAACTGTTACTCCATTTTTGCACCTGTTCAAAGTGCTTTCCTAAAGGTTTACCAAAAATTCTGACTTCAAAACAGACCTTCAAGTACAATACCCAGGGTGTTCCATAATATCTGTCCCATATACAGCTATGTAATGCACAAGCTACATTATTATATCTTGTGAAGCTTCCAATCTAGAAAAATGCATTAGGCAGAGAAAATTACAGTAAAAACCTTCCATAATTCTAACCTTGAGTCTTCATAAAACTGATGCTGTGTACCATTCCCATGATGTACATCCCAATCAACGATTAAAACTCTGAAATATCAATGCTGTTGATTGGGAACTTTCTATATTAATTTTATACAGAAAATGAAGCATTTACGATTATATATGTGTCAAAAACAATGTAAAACAGCTAAATAAATAAAAAATTAATTAAATCATTTTTTTGACCACACCTCCTCCATCTCCATTTTAAACAAAGCAGAATTACATCAGATACATTAATACATATTTAATGACCTGGCTTACTTTTTGACATTGTACTTGTTTTGAGCATACTTGGCTGCAATGCCTACATTATTGAAGAAACAGAAACCCATGGCCCGGGAGCACTCCGCATGATGTCCAGGGGGTCTAAAAATAGAACAAGATGAACCTGTCCAGTATCACTGACCAAACGAACAAAAAATAATAATAATCCAGCTTTTTTTCCAATCAATCAAGAATACAATTTGAAATCAACTGCAAGAATACAATATGAAATCAACTGAGACACACATGTTTTCATTCTATAATTTTAATAAAATTGAATCTAGAATCTTACCTCACTATTGCAACTCCATTCTGACTCTGTAATTCCAAAACAAAGAATTATAAAGTTATCATTCCATAACATAAAGATTTTCACACAATCCAACACTTGTTTACTATTAATTTGATGGCAAACACATTTTATATTGATTCAGGTAATACATGTTTTAGCTGACTCCCAATGGAACCATTTTTTCCTGTAATTTACATAACATCCAAAACTAGAAGCTGATCATGACAATTAAGATACAAATCCTTCTATATGTGCGATATCTATTTATGAAACAGTCATATATAACTAAGGTTAAATTATCAAACACATCCATCCAACTAGTTTTAGATTTTCCAGAAAAGGAATAAGATTTTTAATAATCATTATCATGTTACCACTTGTGTTACATAAAATATCCGATTTGTATTAATAATATGATCAGAACTGATACTTCCCCTCAATTACAAGACATGCCTAATATATTGCTATTACACCCACCAAACATAGGAACTACTGTCTGAGATTTCAGTATTAAGACCCTCACCTGACCAGTCAATACATTATCCACCACATCCAACACAAATCCGGCAGCCATCCGAGCACAAAAGTAAGAATCCTACAACATGAATACATTTTAAGAAATGAAATGTCTGTATACAATCTTCTAAAAATCAATTTCAAAATCATTGTGAAAAAACCTATGGTTCAATTTTTCCCTGTGAAAATGTATGTTCAAAATTATTACTGTACAGAGTTTGAATTTGCAGATGTTTTTTAATTTCACTTACTTTTTTTCCCCTGACAACATATCACAGATTTTTGAATTTGCGAATTTGCACATATATACATGAATGAAAGCTAGACTTTAATGTCTATATAATGACTTTTTAACTTGTAATTAGTTCACTGTTTCTTAAATCCACTTTATTGAGTGTGAATACTGTGAAATTTAACACTGCAAGTTATTTTCCCTCATACAGTTTAAAAAAAAAACATATTTTTTCTACATTGTCAAGTACAAGTATGTCATAAAATTCCAGTTACAAATGCAATGAATTGTTTTCACAAAAAGTAAACTGAATCCTGCTGAGGTAGAAAAGAATAAAACCTACTTTACAGAGGTAGATGGATTGGTAATTTGATTCCAATTTTTTCAACTCAAATGGATTTTTTTCTTCTAAACTCTTTATCTCTTCAACATGAGCTGAGCTAAAACACAATTATACAGAGACAATTAAGAAAATACAATAATACAGAAACATTAGAAGTTAAGAAATCCCAAAAATTAAAAAGGTCATAATTCCATCAAAAATCAGTGAAGTGAAACGAAATGCAAACTTGATCTATAATTCATCAAGATAGTTACACTCATATACCAAAAATCAGCTCGATATCTGCAAGCATTTAGAAAAAAAAAGTGTGGAAAAGCAAGTGGGACAGACAGACTGACAGACAGACTCCGAGGAAACCTATAGTCCCCTCCATTTTCACCAGTACTTAAGTGTACAAGTAGGAATGGGCATTTTTTAACAGGAAGTTTACGATTCAGTCCCGGGGAGAACAAAACATACAATCAGCTACTGGCAATAACGAAAGAGCTATCACTTCAGACCATCATAGAAAAGACTGTCTGTATACATTGTGGTTCAATGAAAGTGATAGTACCTTCCATAACTTAATAATACAAGTCTTCAAAAGTTCCACATGTGTGCGAGATTGGTCCCTCATCTGTTTATGGAGCAATAAAGAGGAACTCGGGTGTGTGCATCAGTGAAATTCCCGGAGTTCAACTGGGGCTTTTCTAGTTTGTTTAAGCAAAGATGAAATGTGACGTTGCTTCAGACACTTTGACGTTATCATCCAAACGTCATAAGGCAATACCACACATAACATAAAAATACCATATTTTATTTATTTGAGCATATATCTATTTAAAATTGCTATGTAATTATATTGATGAAAAATGTACTAAAGAGTAGGGGGAAAATATTAGAAAGCAGTGTTGATTACTTTTTATTAGCTCTTCTGAGCCAAAGGCTCAAAGAGCTAATGCTATGGCCATTTGTGCGGTGTGCGGTGTGCGTAAACTTTTTAGAATATGGGCCATAACTCAAGAACCCCTTGGCCAATTATTGTCAAATTTGTCACAGGGTATCCTTGGCCCAAGGGCTCCCTTTTATACTAAAACTGGGGTTGTGACCCTTTAACAAGGGGAGATAATTAGGAAAATAGAAACAAAAGTACTGGTTGCTAAAAAATCTTCTTCTCAAGAACCACTGGGCAGATTATCACCAAACTTACACAAAAGGATGAGGATATGTTGTAGATTAAAATTTGCACGGGGATTTACCCTGGGGCAAAGGGCGTGGTCTCAAGGTCACTTCAAAGTTGACCAAAAATTACATTTTATTAAAATGTTGATATTTTGCTCACTATAAGGACTAGGATCATCAAATCTTGTCAGTTGGTGCATCTAAGGACCTCATATCATGTTGACTCAAAAGTAGGTCACAGTGACCTACTTTTTAAATTTTGCGGCCATTCTTTTTCAAAATGATTTAGAGGCATATTTTGAACAATTTAAGGCCTATGATCATCAAACTTTGTCAGTTGATGCATCTTGGGTCCTCAAAGTAAGTCAACTAAAAAGTAGGTCACCTTGACCTACTTTTTGAATTTTATGGCTAATCTTTTTTAAAACAATTAAGGTCATTAATTCGAATACGGGGAGGCTTAGAATCATTAAATCTTGTAAGATGATGCATCTTGGGGCCATAAAACATATTTATTAAAAAGTAGGTCACAGTGACCTACTTTTTGAACTTTGCAGGCATTCGATTTCAAAGCGTTTTAGAGGCATAATTTGGACATTTTAAGTCCTATGATCATAAAACTTTGTAAGTTGATGCATCTTGGGTCCTCAAAAAAGGTCAACTGAAAAGTAGGTCACCGTGACCTACTTTTCAATTTATATGACTATAATTGAATATTTCAGGTACTAATTGGCTTAGAATCATCAAACTTTGTCAGTTGATGCATCTTGGGTCTTCGGAGTAGGTCGACTAAAAAGTAGGTCACCGTGACCTACTTTTGAAAATTTATGGCGTTAATTAAATATTTCGGGTACTAATTGGCATAGAATCATCAAACTTTGTCAGTTGATGCATCTTGGGTCTTCGGAGCAGGTTGACTAAAAAGTAGGTCACAGTGACCTACTTTTGAAAATTTATGGCGATAATTAAATATTTTGGGTACTAATTGGCTTAGAATCATCAAACTTTGTCAGTTGATGCATCTTGGGTCTTCAGAGTAGATCGACTAAAAAGTAGGTCACGGTGACCTACTTTTGAAAATTTATGGCTTTAATTAAATATTTCGGGTACTAATTGGCTTAGAATCATCAAACTTTGTCAGTTGATGCGTCATGGGTCTTCGGAGTAGGTCGACTAAAAAGTAGGTCACCGTGACCTACTTTCGGAAAATTTATGGCTTTAATAAAATATTTCGGGTACTAATTGGCTTAGAATCATAAAACTTTGTCAGTTTAGGCGTCATGGGTCCTCTTTGGTCCTCGGAGTAGGTTGACTGAAAAGTAGGTCACTGTGACCTACTTTTGAAAATTTAGCTGTAATTAAATATTTTGGGTACTTATTGGCTAGAATCATCAAACTTTGTCAGTCGATGTATCTTTGGTCCTCAGAGTACAGCAACTGAAAAGTAGGTCACGGTGACCTACTTTTGAAAATTTATGGCTTTAATTAAATATTTTGGGTACTAATTGGCTTAGAATCATCAAACTTTGTCAGTTGATGCACTTGGGTCCTTGGAGTAAAACAATTGAAAAGTAGGTCACTTTGACCTACTTATAAAATTTTATGATTATAATTTTAAAAAATATTTTAGGTATTAATTGGCTTAGAATCATCAAACTTAGTTGATGGGTTCTCAGAGAATGACAAGTGATAAGTAGGTCACCATGACCAACTCTCAGGTACTAATTGGCTTAGAATCATCTTGGGTTCTCAGAGTGTGAATTAGAATTTCAAGGGTTTATGTAAATATACAGGATACTTTGAGGCTTCAAATAGAAGTGATAGGTTGTACAGTTTATCAGAAGAGCGATTCAAGGCCCATGGGCCTCTTGTTCTAGATAACTTGTCCACAATTTTACTAAACAAATCTTGTAATTTATGAAGTGTTTCGCCCATGTTTACTTTCTAGAAAAGAACTGATATTTGAAACAAACCTGTGAATTAATGTTAGTTCTGCTTCTGTGGCCATCCTTGTCTGGAAAAGAATTTTGAAATCTTAGTTACTTTGTTACTTAGTATTCCAACATTTAGCAGTACATCCATGTATCAGAGTACATTTACCCTAGGATTGAAAATATTTTAAAAAGCTGTTCACAAATGGCTGAAACATTCCATGTTTCTTATTTTAATACTACATGTACTATATGTAGTAGATTATAAGTGTTCCATCTTGATCAAAGAAATCCCCATGCATTCAAAATATTCAAGGATGATAAACTGTTGAAAGTGACAAGAAACGTAAACCAGAAGTCTCTGATGAGACTGTAGCTCTACTGGTCTGTACATATAACAAAGGAAAAGTAACACTTGGATTTGAAACTCTGCAACATGCAACAATAAATAGAATTATGTATCTTAATGTAGTCTACTTGTGTGCCAAGTTATATTGAAAACAAACAAAAACTGCAGGAGGAGTAATGTTTTGACAGTATTTCACAGAAATTTCTATTTTTAGTAACCAAGGCAACACCATTCACTGAAATCAAAAACCAATATACATATTATTTATCATTGTGTATTCTAATTGTGTGCCAATTTATATTGAAATCAGACCAAAACTGTAGGAGGAGTAGCATTTTAAAGGAATTTCACAGAAATTTCTATTTTTAGTAACCAAGGCAACACCATTCATTAATCAAAAACCGATGCACTAAAGTATGTATCATTGTATAGTCTACTTGTGTGCCAAGTTATATTGAAATCAGACCAAAACTGTAGGAGGATTAGCGTTTTAAAAGGAATTTCACAGAAATTTCTATTTTTAGTAACCATGGCAACACCGTTCATCGAAATCAGAAACCGATGCACTAAATTATGTATCTTAGTGTAGTCTAATTGTGTGCCAAGTTATATTGAATTCAGACCAAAACTGTAGGAGGAGTAGCGTTTTAAAGGAATTTCACAGAAATTTCTATTTTTAGTAACCATGGCAACTCCGTTCATCGAAATTAAAAACCGATGCACTAAATTATGTATCTTAGTACAGTCTACTTGTGTGCCAAGTTATATTGAAATCACACCAAAACTGTAGGAGGAGAAGCGTTTTGAAAAATTGTTTACAGACAGACAGACAGACAGATGGACGGACGACGGACACCTTACTATCGCATAAGCTCTTCTGATGTCTGACCAGTAGAGCTAAAAACAATTGTAACTGATTATCAGCTAATTCATTTTGATTCCAAATTCATATCAATACGTGTATATTCAAGCAAACTAAGGAAAGAAAACAGCTCTTTTGAATTATTTTCTCAAAATTTGAATTCTTTTTCTAATTTCAATGACAATCATTGTGTTAAGATTGTTTGAATCATGGGAGATAAAACACATCCAATTATAATTTTTTTAATTAATCCTCATTGATCTGTATCCACTTAATATCTGCAATCATAATTAAAAAAGCTGGGTTTTATCGTAATGACAGATTAATGATAAAAGTGAAATCATGTTTGTACCCACCTCAACCCTCATACATCTCTGAGTGAGTCCCCACTCTGTGTCTGGGGCTGAGTACTCCACTCGACCCTCATACATCTCTGAGTGAGCTCCCACTCTGTGTCTGGGGCTCACTAGTACTCACCTCCACCCTCGTACGTCTCTGAGTGAGTCCCCACTCGTGTGTGGGGCTCATAAGTACTCACCTCGACCCTCGTACATCTCTGAGTGAGCCCCCACTCTGTGTGTTTGTCAAATATTCGTGTGATTCTGTCCGGAGACTCAGGATGGCTAAACAAAATATACAGTATATTATTTAATATAAGCATTCAGTATAAGATACAGTGTGTATAGTCTAACAAATACACAAGAAAAAACATCTATATGTCAAATTAGCAGAAAGTGCAGGACATAACTACAGACAAAAATTCATAGAATTTCATTTCTATTCCATTAGTTACATCACAAGATGAAACACTTCCTTTAAGTTTGGCTTAATGATGGCTTATAGGTCCTTAATGATGGTTTAATGGTTGTCTTTAAGTCACCATTAAGCACCTTTAAGCTACATTTAAGTAATAAATACACCTAAATTAAGTTACCATTAAACCATCTCAAAGTCCTTAATGGATGCTTAAAGGTAGCTTAATGGTAGCTTAATGGTGGCTTAATGGTGGCTTATAGGTGCTTAATGGTAGCTTCTAGACAATCATTAAGTCACTGTTAAGCCACCATTAAGCCAGACTTATAGGTGCTTAATGTCCAAACTCCATTAAGCTACCATTACACCACCTTTAAGCCACCATTAAGTCGCCATTACGCAGTCGATAGAACTTCTTTTACGGGTTAAATATTATTTTTATAATGATTTCTCCACAAAAATTATAAATGTCGAGTTTATACATTTGTTAATTTGGCGAAAATAATGTAAAAGAAAGAAAATTAAAAAAAAAAAAATAAATGAAAAAAAGCATTTCCAACAGGATTCGATCCCACGACCTTTAGATTGGAGGGCAAACGCTTTAACCACTGAGCTATCGAGGCAGTTGAAATTGAAGTGAAATATAAAACCTTTATTTTTACCAAAACTTGTTTGGAATGGTTACAGGTACATGTAATTTTTTTTTTCTGATGTTTATATTTATTAATCAATAATACGAATAATTATATATATATATATATATATATATATATATATATATATATATTTAAAAAAAAGAAATTTTGATATAAAGTTTTATATTACGTTAATATTTCTTAACTGTGGACCGGAGTTCGGTGTGATGGTATGGAACAACTTTTTGATTTTAAGTAACTGAATTCCTCGTTCTGTTATTCGCAGATTTATAAGCATGAAAAGATTGAAATTCAACAGATATAACAAAATTTTGTAATGAAAAAGGAATATATCATCGAAAGAGAACGATTGGGAAAAAACAGATTATAGTTCTTATAAAATATGATGCGGATATTTACGATTTTTGACAATCTTTGCGTAACAGTTAAGTTATAAAATATTTCTGTAATATATCATCTTCAGTTTTAATTCTTTTTATATCATTATGGGTATCAAAATAATTTTCTTTTTGTGTACAATCATAATTTATAATTTGTTATAAGCTTGTGTAAATTTTAAGTTTTGTAAAAAATAGATCATCAAAATCTGTCACTGTACGTTCCCGTGTATAGGTTCCTGTTAATTGACCGGGGACTTGTGGGGACACCTAATTAAGGTCTATTGTCTAACTAGTCGATATACTGTACACTGATTATTTAACCCCGCTTCTCAGTGTATATAAATCTGATCGGATACCCTGTTTAATCTGATCAGATGTTCTTCTGAAAATTGATTTTGAAATCATTGAAGACCGACTATATTTTGATCAATTCTTACTTCTGAATTATTTCAAATAAATTCTTACTTCTGCATTATTTTAAATAAATTCTTACTTCTGCAGTATTTCAAAAGAAAGGAAAAAATAATGGCACTTAACCACGAATTAATTCGAATTATTCATGAATTAATTCAATAATTGGCAATATAATCTATACCTATATATTTCTTTCATATCTAAAACATTTCTCTACCCAAAGAAAAAATAAGACACTTAGAGATATTCCAGAAGAAAATGACTCTAATTACATTTCCTATGAATTTGGCAGTGGAGTGTGGCTATCCAAACACGAAAGAAAAATATGTGATTTTTTTTTTAATTAATATATATTACGTATTTATGGATAAAAATAATTTTAAAACAAGTATTCAAACAAACTCATTTTAGGGAGCGAAAATTTTAAGGCATTTGGTGAAGCTCTTACAGTTCCCGAGTTTATATGCATTGACAAAAATGTTAGAAATAGCGAGAAAAAAAATGAATTGAATAAGTATTTGCGTGAATGATACAGAAACAACTTCAAACTTAACAAGTAAGTTTAAAGACTTGATACTGGATGCGTTAAGGTGGTTTAATTAAGTTTGGACATTAAGTCACCATTAAGCTGCAGCTTAAAGGTGGCTTAATGGTAGCTTAAGAAGTTTGGACATTAAGCACCTAGAAGCTGCAGCTTAATGGTGGCTTAATGGTGGCTTAAAGGAATTAACTTCTATAAGCCACCATTAAGCTACCATTAAGCCACCATTAAGCGATTGCTTAAAGATGGTTTTTCGTTTCGTCCTGTGCATGTCGAGAATTTGTGAAAAAGTCTCTGGAAAGAAAGATGGGTGATTAGAATAGGACTTAAGCAAATTCTTGCAGAGCGTAATAAATGTGTTGAAAGCAGACAAACAGACAAGGTGAATATTAGATATCTAAAACAGATGGGGATATTGTATTACAAGTCGTTCACTAGTAGGATATTGTATTACAAGTAGTTCACTAGTAGGATATTGTATTACAAGAAATTCACTAGTACTAGTAGGATATTGTATATACAAGTAGTTCACTAGTAGGATATTGTACATACAAGTAGTTCATTAGTAGGATATTGTATTACAAGTAGTTCACTAATAGGATATTGTATATACAAGTAGTTCACTAGTAGTATATAGTATATACAAGAAGTTCACCAGTAGGATATTGTATATACAAGTAGTTCACTAGTAGTATATAGTATATACAAGTAATTCACTAGTAGGATATTGTATTACAAGTAGTTCACTAGTAGGATATAGTATATACAAGTAGTTCACTAGTAGGATATTGTATTACAAGTAGTTCACTAGTAGGATATTGTATTACAAGAAATTCACTAGTAGGATATTGTATATACAAGTAGTTCACTTGTAGGATATTGTATATACAAGTAGTTCACTAGTAGGATATTGTATTACAAGTAGTTCACTAGTAGGATATTGTATTACAAGAAATTCACTAGTAGGATATTGTATATACAAGTAGTTCACTAGTAGGATATTGTATATACAAGTAGTTCACTAGTAGTATATAGTATATACAAGAAGTTCACCAGTAGGATATTGTATATACAAGTAGTTCACTAGTAGTATATAGTATATACAAGTAGTTCACTAGTAGGATATTGTATTACAAGTAGTTTACTAGTAGGATATTGTATTACAAGAAATTCACTAGTAGGATATTGTATATACAAGTAGTTCACTTGTAGGATATTGTATATACAAGTAGTTCACTAGTAGGATATTGTATTACAAGTAGTTCACTAGTAGGATATTGTATTACAAGTAGTTCACTAGTAGGATATTGTATTACAAGAAATTCACTAGTAGGATATTGTATATACAAGTAGTTCACTAGTAGGATATTGTACATACAAGTAGTTCACTAGTAGGATATTGTATTACAAGTAGTTCACAAGTAGGATATTGTATATACAAGTAGTTCACTTGTAGGATATTGTATTACAAGAAATTCACTAGTAGGATATTGTATATACAAGTAGTTCACTTGTAGGATATTGTATATACAAGTAGTTCACTAGTAGGATATTGTATATACAAGTAGTTCACTTGTAGGATATTGTATTACAAGTAATTCACTAGTAGGATATTGTATTACAAGTAGTTTGCTAGTAGGATATTATATTACAAGTAGTTCACTTGTAGGCTATAGTACACATTAGAAGTTCCTTAGTAGGATATAGTAAGTAAGTAGCTTACTAGTAAGATGCAGTTGAACAATGGGCTCTCATTCCTTCATCATAGGCAATACAGGTTCTGTAAAATAACAAAAAATTCCTTGCAACTTCTTTTTACGCATCACAAGGCACTGGAAAATTGAAAATCTAAAAAGCTTTAAATCACATGTTTTAAGTTTCTACAATGATTTTAACTCTGCAGTCTTTCTCCAAGAGTCCTTAATATACAATCATGTACATTTACATCTAGTAACACATTTTTGCCCTTCTTAAGTACAGTCAAACCTCTTTATCTCAAACTTCACCAGACCAAGAAAATACTTGGAGATATCTCAGGATTCGAGATATACTGGGTAAAATACTTAAGAAATATGCCCTTGGGACCTCAAAATCACTTTGGCATATCCATGGTATTTGAGATATCCGTGTTCGAGAAACCAAAGTTCAACTGTATATTAAAGATATGAGCCTGAGGGTAATCATCATTTAAAAACTTACATTTTTTTAGAAGTCAGTGGTACATGTAGGTCTGGACCCTTTCAGCATTTCTTGCTATATATTTTTCCCAGCTTTTGGCAAAAATATGATCCTGTCTATATACCTCTATACACTACCTGTCTTTGGCTTTACTGAGGTTCGTTGATGCTATGATCCTATCAATGACAGGTGACAATCTTTTCTCCACTTTGTAATACTCCTCCATTTTTGTTGGCTCCAGACTTTCAGGGTATTCCTTTGGCTTGTTTTCTTCAGTGATTAAAATTATATCTGGTCTACAAAGGAAACATAACTTACTCATCTAAGAGATCAAGTAAACAATGATGAAGTTAATATCAGGCCTACAAATTAAACACAACTCACTTGAGATCTTAAGTAAACAGTGATGAAATGAAATATAACTCACTAGCTATGAATTCACTATTTTTTTTTTGAGGGGGGGGGGGATTTTGTTATCATGGTATGGGGAGACCCATAAATTTAGTCCTCCATGAAATGTTAAGATTACAATATATAAAAACTCTGCAATTCTTCAACTACAAAATCAAATCCCCAAAAATCAAAACATGAAAATTTGCCCCCCACCAAAATAAGTGATTTACAATGCAGGGAACTAATTTTGTTACATAAACCAGCATCAGCATAAGCATTAGTAGCATCAGGATAGAGCTAGCATCAGCATCAGCATTTAAAAAACAGCATTACCAGGATCAGCATCAGCAAGCAAAGGATAAAACCAGCATTGACCTACATAAAATCAGCATTATCCTACTAGCATCAGAAAATCAATGAGTTTTAATTCAGTAAAAAATTTAAAAAGAAAGAAAGAATATTGGTTAAAGTATTCACATTATTGATACATAGTGAGATATTATGATCAAATAATTGTAAAAGGCACTTTTATTGCTTTAAACGGCAATGCTGAAGTTCATTATCTACTTCCGGTAGCATAATGCTACTTCCGGCAGCATTGACCTAATTATAAAACAGCATCAGGATAAGGATTACTAGCATTAAATCAGCAAGCAAAGGAAGCATTCAAATCAGCAAGCAAAGGAAGCATTCAAATCAGCATCGATGCTGTAACAAAATTAGTTTCCTGCACTGTAATTTACAGTATCTGAGATCTCCAGTAAACAAAGATGAAATTAATACCGTCTTCAAATAAAACATAATTCACTTTTCTGAGAATTCGAGTACATGTAAACAGTGATGAAATTAATATCAGGCCTACAAACTTACTTAACTGAAATCTCAAGTAAACAGAGATGAAATTAATATCAGGTCTACAAACTTACTAATCTATCAAGTAAACAGAGATGAAATTAATATCAGGTCTACAAACTTACTTATCTGGGATCTCAAGTAAACAGAGATGAAATTAATATCAGGTCTACAAACTTACTTATCTATCAAGTAAACAGAGATGAAATTAATATCAGGTCTACAAACTTACTTATCTCTCAAGTAAACAGAGATGAAATTAATATCAGGCCTACAAACTTACTTATCTATCAAGTAAACAGAGATGAAATTAATATCAGGTCTACAAACTTACTTATCTCTCAAGTAAACAGAGATGAAATTAATATCAGGTCTACAAACTTACTTATCTATCAAGTAAACAGAGATGAAATTAATATCAGGTCTACAAACTTACTTATCTATCAAGTAAACAGAGATGAAATTAATATCAGGTCTACAAACTTACTTATCTGAGATCTCAAGTAAACAGAGATGAAATTAATATCAGGCCTACAAACTTACTTATCTATCAAGTAAACAGAGATGAAATTTATATCAGGTCTACAAACTTACTTATCTATCAAGTAAACAGAGATGAAATTAATATCAGGCCTACAAACTTACTTATCTATCAAGTAAACAGAGATGAAATTAATATCAGGCCTACAAACTTACTTATCTATCAAGTAAACAGAGATGAAATTAATATCAGGCCTACAAACTTACTTATCTATCAAGTAAACAGAGATGAAATTTATATCAGGTCTACAAACTTACTTATCTATCAAGTAAACAGAGATGAAATTAATATCAGGTCTACAAACTTACTTATCTGTCAAGTAAACAGAGATGAAATTAATATCAGGTCTACAAACTTACTTATCTATCAAGTAAACAGAGATGAAATTAATATCAGGTCTACAAACTTACTTATCTATCAAGTAAACAGAGATGAAATTAATATCAGGTCTACAAACTTACTTATCTATCAAGTAAACAGAGATGAAATTAATATCAGGTCTACAAACTTACTTATCTGTCAAGTAAACAGAGATGAAATTAATATCAGGCCTACAAACTTACTTATCTATCAAGTAAACAGAGATGAAATTAATATCAGGCCTACAAACTTACTTATCTATCAAGTAAACAGAGATGAAATTAATATCAGGTCTACAAACTTACTTATCTATCAAGTAAACAGAGATGAAATTAATATCAGGCCTACAAACTTACTTATCTGTCAAGTAAACAGAGATGAAATTAATATCAGGTCTACAAACTTACTTATCTGTCAAGTAAACAGAGATGAAATTTATATCAGGCCTACAAACTTACTTATCTCTCAAGTAAACAGAGATGAAATTTATATCAAGTCTACAAACTTACTTATCTGAGATCTCAAGTAAACAGAGATGAAATTAATATCAGGTCTACAAACTTACTTATCCATCAAGTAAACAGAGATGAAATTAATATCAGGTCTACAAACTTACTTATCTCTCAAGTAAACAGAGATGAAATTAATATCAGGCCTACAAACTTACTTATCTATCAAGTAAACAGAGATGAAATTAATATCAGGTCTACAAACTTACTTATCTCTCAAGTAAACAGAGATGAAACTAGAGCAGAGCTCGTTGCAAAGCAACGAGTAGGTCTTCCGATGGAGCTGCGAACAGGAAGAAGTGACCTTGAGTCAAGGTCATGCCACATTCTAAGGTTATAAGCAATCTTGTAAGGGGTATCAACTTGCAATGTCTCACAAGTAGAAAGACAGTTAAGGAATGTTGTTTCTCCATTGATGACCTTGAACTCGTTCAAATGACCTTGCATCAAACCATGACACACTCTGGTTATAAGCAAACCCCATCTATGTGTTACCGACTCGACAAGTTAACACATGTTCTTTCAGATCATTCATCCAGTCAAAACATTCTTTCCTTAGTGACCCTAAATTTAATCAACATGGCCGTAGGAACCGAGGAAGGGGGGGGGGGGGCGTGCCCCCCAATAATTTTGCCGATATATATATTACTATAGTAGACATAGATACTATAGCTTGTGCCACCTCAATAAAAATGTCTGATAACCTTCTTTTTTTTTGCTTGTCAAGGAATTTTTGGTAGTGGGTGACCTTTTTTTTTTTGCTTGTCAGGAAATTTATGGTAGTAGTGCCCCCTCAACTGTCAGCTGAAAATGTATGGCTGTGCCCCCCCCCCCCCCCCCCCCCAAAAAAACCTGAATTTGCTTCCTATGGGCCTGATCAAGGCAATGATACACTCTGTATGATATCAGCGATACCCTTTTGTGTGTTTCGGAATTGACAAATTCACAGTTTGCATTTATTGCATGATAGTGAGGGAGACATGAAGATTTCTTCGCCCATAAAAAATCATATTCCCCGAGGGCAACATGAAGATTTCTTCGCCCATGAAAAATCATACTCCCCGAAGGCAACGCCCGAGAGAAATATGATTTTTCATTTGTGAAGAAATCTTTATGTCTCCCTCACTATTATGCAATAAATTGTTTATAATACCGAATTAACCAAAATGCAGGAATTACAAAGGAGATCCAATGAATAAAGCAAACATGCATTTGATGAGAACGATATGAAAGAGATGTAAGTTACAGGTACACCAATAGCCTCGTTTCATTAAAAAAAAGTTCCTACGTGACAAGTTTGTGTGATCACACCAGTAACATTCAAACACGATTACATTTTTACACATTTAAATCGACACAATCAATCAACGATAATATGCTGACGGTGCGACCGTTTTTTGAGTGCATTGTTCACTTAATTTTAAGATCCGCCTCTTCAAACAGCACGAGACATTTGGAACGTCTAGACTGTGACGTCTCATGACGTATGTTAGCTGTATTTCCATAAACGAATTTTGAAAAGTGCAAACATTTTAACAAAGAACGTTTAATCTACTATCTGTATGCAATTCCATTAATTAAGGTGATTTTTTGGGGTGAATTTTTAGTTGTTGTTACCGCGCCAACAAAGTTAGCAGCGTCGCTATAAACAATCTAACTCCTCACTCGTTTAATTGTGACGTCACAATCGTGAAACACGACGTTTTGTTGCAGGGCAAACATGATGGACACGTGACTTTCTCGGCCAATCAAATTCTATTTTACTAGTGATTTTTCACTTGTAAGCTAGTTTTCACAGAGGTATCATAAACGTTTTTTTTTAGACCATACATCGAAATAAATTATCATAATTTCTATAGTCGTAATTTATTAGGTTCAACTCACTGCTTTAAAGGATCATTGTAAATGTTTTATGCCCGATTTGGATACTGAACAACGTGTGATTTTTGAAACACTGATGCCCCCATATGGCATCTTATGGCAAAAGTTAAAAGTTTCTCAAATGCAAGTCAAACTCCATGGTCAAGATCAAAAGATAAAAAAAAATGTTATTACCCAAATAAAGGTCTTGAACAAAGAATATACTGTGAAATATATACTAGTACGAAAGCCACAGCAGCAACAGTTTAAAAGTTATGGCCAAGGTTAATTTCTTTAAAAGGTCAAACTCCAAGGTCAAGGGATCATAATTGTTTGTACTTGAGGGAAGGTCTTAATTGTTACAAGGAATACACATGTGGTATTAAAAAAGCCTTAGCACCAACTTTTCAAAAGTAGGACATACTCAAAGGTCAAGGTAAAATGGTCAAAATTAAAGGTATACAATGACAGGCCTTGTCACAAGAAAATTACCTATGTAATATAAAAGCCCTAGTACTAGTCATTCAAAAGTTATTGTCAAGGCTAAAGTTGTTTAAAAGTTGGTCAAACTCCAAGGTCAAGGTCAAATGGTCAAACATATTTATACCCAAGGAGGAAACTTATCACAAGGGATACAGATGTGAAGTATAAAAGCCATAGCACCAACTGTTCAAAAGTTTTGGCCAAGGTTATAGTTTGGTAAAATTTTGCGAAAGAGGATCAAACTCCAAGTTCAAGGTCAAGAGGTCAAATATGTTGGTACCTGAAGGAAGTCCTTGTT